AATTTATATCTTCTAAACGGTAATAGATAGGTATAGGGAAATAGTATATAAATTTGTTGACAAAGTGATAATGAATCATAATATGATATTATACACGGGGTGTTCCGTTTGAAAAAACAAAGAAGCTTCCTCTGAAATATTTTAGGCATGTAGGTCATACTGATTTATGTATACTGTGAAATTTTCAGGTTGATCCGTTAAATAGTTTGTCAGAAACGGCTTATTAACGCTCATCATGAAAAGCCCTGTATACTTTGGTGAAATTATGGTAACGCTGACTCAAAATAGAGGCCAACGCAGTTCTGATGATAGAAGGGTTTGTATCGTGTATATTATAGCAATGTAAATTGGTGTTAATTTCAGGAATAGCTATAGTCCAAGGGGGTGGATGGTCGAGATCTAACGGATAGACATCCAGGAATTCAATGTTTAGGTGCTGAAGATATGTTCGAATTCTTTCATAGTATGGCTTAGGTGTGCGTGTCTTCCCATCGAAATAGTGCCGGTATTTATTGGTAAACGTATTATTGTACAAAGGGTTATTTTCATTTGCTGCATGTGATAAGGTTAAATACATTCGTCGCTGTTGCAAGGCGGGTTCACCAGTTTCAGAATGAATACTATCTATCGGAGTAGTGCGTAAAGCACCCAAAGCGATTCTGAGAGCAGTATTATGAATAGTGTCTCAAGACTGATTTTGAGGCAGATGCATACGCAATGGAACCATTATCAATTTTTGATCTGATTAGCGTTCTGTACGCAGTAAGTAGCATGGCATAATCAGCTCCCCAGTTCCTATTGGCTAACGTTTAAAGTAGGTTTAGTCTTTTGTTAAAGGAAAGTATTAGTTGTTTGATATGCTTTTTCCAAAATAGTTTTGGGTCAAACCACATTCCTAAACATTTAACAGATGATTTGAAAATTACCCTTTCATTGTATAGTTTTAATGAGGGAACTTCTATGGAAGAGAATTTGGAAAACCATACCATTAGTTTTTTCAACTGAGAATTTGAAGCCTGTTTCGGAGGACCAGTGTTCCAACTGCATCAGGAAGTGTTGTAAGATGGTTTTCATCTGAGTTATGTCTTCGCCTTCAATGTAGATCACCAAATCATCAGCCTATAGATGAGCCTTTAGAGGTTTCATTAAAGTTTTAATAATATCATTTATTGCAATTAAAAACAACGTTGGACTGATAACGGATCCTTGTGGGGTGCCATTTTCTTCGATGGTATTATCTGAGAGAAAATTGTGAACTCTTACTGAGAATGATCTATTTTTCAAAAAGTTGTTGACGAAGTTAAGACGATTACCACGAGTGTTCCATAAATGTAATTTCTCGAGAATCTTAAATTTCCAACATGTGTTAACTGCTTGTTTCAGGTCCAAAAATATTGCAATACAGGTTTGTTTTATTGCTAGTGGTTCGTGAATATCACTTTCTAAGTCCAGAATATTGTCGATTCCTAATCGGTGTTTTCTAAAACCATTCTGTTACGATTTCAAGAGATTTGATCTTTCTATATACCAAAAAAGTCCACAATTGACCATCTTCTCCAAGAGTTTACTCATTGAACATGTTAAACTCATGGGCCTATAAAAATCTGGCTCAAGAGGATATTTTTGACTTTTTAGTAAAGGAAGCACTATGGATTTAGACCAGATGGATGAAAACTTATGACATTGCCAAATGAAATTAAATATTTTGAGCAAAAGTACTCTAGCTACTTCCGGAAGATGTTTCAAAAATACGACTGGTATATCATCCGGCCCTGGACTGGTATTCCTTAAATCCTGAAGACTGAAGCTCAGCTCTGGGAGACTGAAGGCAATATTTAGTGGAGTATTCAGATCGTTATCATCTAGTCTAGAATATTGTTTTTTTCCACTAATAATTTATTTCGTCATAAAGTGGAACTGTAATTATCATTTGAAGATATTTGTTCATAGTGGTTGGCTAGAACATTTGCTATTTCTGGGGCCGAGCTTATTATATTGTTATTGACTTTAAGGTGGATATAAACGGTGTAGTTTTTAAGCCATTTAGTTTCCTGATTCTTTTCCAGACTTCAGAGATTGCAGTAGAACTATTTATTTCAGTAAGATAGCGAGACCATGAGTTTCGTTTAGCTTGTTGTTTACTAGCTGTTGTGCTTTAGCTTTCGCTTTCTTGAATTCTAAAGCACAACAGCTAGTGAATCAAGCTAAACGAAACTCAGAGAATCTAGTTCCTTCATAACATTCAAAATGTAATAAGTTGGATATATTATATTTTTCGTTGAATTTTAGATACCAAAACACATGTGTTTTCGTATGGAAAGGAAACCTTATCATCTTTCAGAAATAACCTTAAGGCCAACAGAGCCAAGCCATTTAAAGGAAAAGTCGTTGAAATTAACTGCTTGATGCTAAGAAATTCGATATTTTGAAACATTCAACCTCATTAAAAAAAGTTATATGAAGTACTGGTGATATTTTGACCCCATCTATACATTCCCGAGAGGAAAAGAGGAAGTCCAGGGACACCCTGTATATTGTATGCAGATTTTCCTCTTGAAGATGATGACATGGTGATTGAAACACATGTCGAGGTGTCTCACAAAACGAGTACGTGGAAATGTATACATCTTTGATACCTGAAAGTACTCTCCAAATAGAATGAAGGGGTTTGGGTATTGAAATTGAACTATTTTGCCCCCTAGTATGTTTTACTGTAAAATGTGTTGTTCCATCGCGAGTGGCGGCCAACCCCATTTAGGTGGTAGGTGCATTTTGAGCATTTCCATCAGTTCTCATACACCAGTCATTTAAGCTTAAATTAGGTAAGAATCTTGGAATTGGAGATACCCAGCTGTAAGTCTGTAAATATTTGTATATTGACACCCTAAAAGTTGTCTCAAAACCTACATATGGTAGGGTGTACGCAACTATTAAATTTCAAGGTCAATGATCACAAAAATCGTTTTTTTGCGCTTTTTTTGTAAATATCTCATTTCCTATGGGTTTTTTGCTATTTGTTTTTATTATCAATATTGTAGAATCAATATTTATCGGTCATCTTATGCAGAACAAACAGATTTAATTTGAATTTCAATCTACAATTCAATGTAGATTGGGATCTAAATTGAATCTACAACCACATAGAGGTATCGAAGTTCTTTCTTCAACTGGCCAGTCACGACCATCCCAAGGTTTACTCAAATTTTTATATACCTCACGTGATCATGAGTGAGATATACTCACACAGGTACTTTTTCGATCATGATTACCTAAAGTATCTACTCAAGTTTTTTACTCAAGGTACATCCTCATTGGAGGAAGTGGAATGACTGGAATAGATTTCAAAGATTCAGTGATTATGGGAACCATTATCCCATTATACCCAAACCAAGTAGGATGGACTACACCCTACCAAAAGCATTCCGACCAATTAGTCTCACATCGTTTTTCTTAAAAACCATGGAGAGGCTATGTGAGCGGTATGTAAGAGATGAAGTACTTGTTAACAACCCACTTCATCCAAATCAGCATGCATATACCCCGGGAAGGTTTACTGATTCGGCCCTTCACCATGTGGTTGGCAGAATCGAGAGATCTTTGGACAACAAAGAATCCACCCTGGGTATATTCATAGATATCGAGGGAGCGTTTGATAAAACAACCTTTCCAACAATTACCCAGCAACTACACTCCAGGAATGTACCCCTGGTAGTAGGAGAATAGATACTCCAGATGCTCTCTAGCAGAGCAATGAGTTTTAATGTAGAAGACATCACAGTGAAAGGACTGGTCATGAGGGGATGTCCACAGGGAGGGGTCTTATCACCCCTTCTCTGGAACATAGTTCTGAATACCCTAATTAATCACCTTAACAAAAATGGATTCTACACAATTACATACGCAGATGACATAGTTATCTTGAAGACCGGCAAATTTAGTAAACACACCGTGCGATAGAGCGCAGGATGGGCTCAAATTAATAGAAACATGGTGCAAGGAACACTCACTGTCGATCAATCCCAAGAAGACTGAGATGGTCCTTTTCTCCAGGAAAAGAAGTTTAACGGGCTTAAAACCTCCCGAAATCTTCAAAAGCCAACTAAACTTCTCTGAAGAGGTGAAATACCTTGGTATTATCCTCGACAAGAAGCTAACATGGAACTCATCTACAGAGTAGAGAAAAAAGACCATACGTGGCTCATGAGCAATGTCGGAGGACAGTGGGACGCGCATAGGGTCTTTCACTCCGTGTGGACACCTGGATCTACACTGCAATAATAAGACCTATGTTAACGTATGGAGCCATTGCATGGGGACCAAAAGTTCTACAAGCAACATCCATCCAAAAATTATATCAAATACAGCGAATGGCCTGTTTGAACATCACAGGAGCCATGAGAACAACACCAACCGCGGCAATGGAATTAATCACAGGTCTGACCCCTCTGGATCTGTACGTTAAGGAGGTTGCGTTAATGGCCATGGTACGATTGCGCATGGCTGGTGTAAACCTCTATTCCTTTAATTTTTATTTATTCAATTATTATATTTTCACTTGTAGGTTATTTCACTATCATTTCATTTCAGGTTTATTGTTGCCTAATATAATTGTTATTTTCAACTATTCTTTTTTAAGTATTCTTTTTTACTTGTTTCAGGGATTTCAAAACATTTCATATAATGGAAGTCCGAACTAGTGGAACTTCTTTGACCATATTTACCTAAAGCATCTACTCAACTTTTTTACTCAAGGTACATCCTCATTGGAGGAAGTGGAATGACTGGAATAGATTTCCAAGATTCAGTGATAATGATATCATAAGCACCACAGGCTTTGGTTTCCATACTATTGATGATCTTTCAAGTTTGATTCACATAAAAGCAACATGTGCCAAAACATACTCATGATATCTGCGTCATCATTAATGAAATGATAATCCCTTTGTTTTTAGGTATCGGATTTGGAGTTCTATGGGGAATTATTTGTAACTATTCCCCAGAACGTAATGATCCCTTTCTTATCCCACTACGAATAATTTTACTCTTAGTTGGAGGACTGGTTGCAGTTTTCGGGAGTGATGTGCTTGGATACGGAGGAGCTGGACCATTGGGCTGCGTTATAGCTGCATTCACATCCCTTGTCTGTTGGTCAAGGCAAGGATGGGACATAGAAGATAATCCTGCTGCTACAGCATTTGAAATATTCTGGATGATATTCGAACCCATTCTGTTTGGAATAACCGGGGCATCAGTAAAACTGAACCAGTTGGAAGGAAATGTGGTTCTTATAAGTGTGGGGATGCTTATCGCTTCCACTATATTGAGGATCATCTGCACAATCTTAGTTGGAATAGGATGCGAACTCAACCTGAAAGAAAAAATATTCGTGGCAATTGCTTGGATGGCAAAAGCAACAGTGCAGGTAAAATCATCAGAATCACTTTATTGTCTTTTGATATTCGATATATCAAAAATACCAACGATTACTGGAGATGAAAAAGTAATAGTTACAGTGTATGTCATTACTTTCTACCCCAAAATGGTAGAATGAAAACCCAGTGTTTCCATATTATTCTCAAAATGCTAAGGTTAGGAATATTTCTGTTGAAATAAATGTATGCGACGATGTTAAACTTTTTTATGAAGGTTGATCTTTTTTGCAACTGTCTTTTTTAAAGAACGATTCATATTGTAATGAATCTGAAGCCGGCCCTGACCGGTGTCCCAGTCAGCCAACGCATGACGCATACCGCGAAAACTCCGGATGGGTCCTGAAATCCGCAGAGGGATCCGGAACGTTCGTTGACGATATAAAAACGTCGCTATTCGTCCCGAAGAGTGGTCTGTACCAAGAAAGCGAATCTAGCGGTTAACAAACGGTGAAAATAAATTAAGCGTTAGTTACTGAGTGGTGTAAATGAATTAGTTGTGATAGTGAAGTATTGTTAAAATAAATTTGTTTAAGACAGTTAATTCTTTAATTCGTTACAATA